CAAACAGTGGTGGAGATGGCCTCGGTCTTGGTAACGACCACGGTCGAGTGGGCCGGGCAGTTGGTGATCTCGGGGGCGCAGGAGATAACGGTGCTAACCTTAGTGGCGTAGATGGTAGAGGTGGTCATGGCCTCGACGCTGGAGGAGACGACGGTGCTGCGGGCAGGGCAGTTGGTGACCTCGGGAGCGCAGGAGGTGATGGTGAAGTACTTGGTGGAGAAGACGGTGGAGGCGGGCTCTTCGGTGGCCATGACGGCACCGGCGAGGGCGAGGGCAGCAACAGCGTAACGCATTTTGAAGAGTTATTGGGGGGGGGGGGGGTTTCGTGAAAACGAAGTTGTTGGATTAAGATAGCGAGTGTTTTGAAGCAGAGAGCTTTGATAAAGAATGGACGACCGAAGTCAAAGTTGAGTCAAAAGCGGATGCTTGAGATTGATGAGGCTTGTTTGGCTGGAGAGGGAAGAAAAGAAGAGGTCGGAAGCAAACGGGGAGGACGGCAGCATATTAATAGCCATGTTGGACAAGTGTGAGTCCTTCACTCAAACGGCCCCTCTCCCCGGTGTGAATGAGCGAGTGAGAGTGAGAGTGAGAACAAGGTGTGAGAGAGAGTCAGTCAGCTCCCATCCCGTTTCCTCCGCCAGGCACTCCGCCAACGCCCATCAGCAGCAGCAAGTGAGAGCGAGTGAGCGACATGGAACGAGGCACACAGAGTGGGAAATTACACAACGCCTGCTAACATCCAGCCCCATGAACGCTAATCCAGGGGTTTGGTGGAGAGGTTGGATGGCACCAAAAAAGCACTTGGGCGAATTGGCCCGTACAGACCAGGCCGGCCAACGAACCCTTGTTTTCACCCCGGCCTTTCCGCTGGGACTCTAGGCCGGGGTCAGATCCCATCTGCATAGCGCTACATTAACGGCAGAACAGAAGAGAAAACGCCGTTGCCACCTTATTTGCTGGACTGCAGTAGGTGTGGTCTCTCGCTTGGCTGTAGTCTGTGGTAAGGAGAGAGATGAGTTGCGAGCGCTTATTGAGGGTCGACAACACGACCGGATAGGGCGCCATTGCTTAATGGTAGCCGCTGGAATTGTGCGCCGGGCTTCATTAAGCTTCATTTTTATCTCTGGCGCCTCTTTCAATTTCCCCGTTCGTGTTAAGCAATGAAGCACAGCAATTTCGCTCGGGACTTATTGTACGATGGCCACTTGCGCCAACGAAAAGGAGAGAGAGGCATATATCCACACACTTGCAGGAGGAAAGCCGCTGACGCTAACACCAGGTGACAGATGGTGAGCGTCTATTGAACGTCCAGCTGGACAATTCTGACAATGCCTATTCACCATATGAGCGTTTGCACATTGGCGGTGACAAGAGTGAAAGAGGCTGTTCTTGGTCGGGTTCGCCAATCTCGGGTCCTCCTTCAGAATTGGCCAACGCTCTGTGCCTCCTCTGATCCCGAGGATCCTGGGAGGCAAGGTTGCCCAGCACGAGTCAATCAATCAAGGACCATGGAACAATGTTTGAAGGCGAGCCAGAAAGTGGCACATTTCATCGTAACAGGGATAGAATGTCTGATTGGGCAAGTGGAAGGTTCGGTGAGACTTTGTACGCGGTACAGCTGGCAAAGGTGTGAAGTTGTGCGAGCCGAAGCCCTTGCTGCCGTACCCGGGACTTGAGTGACTGAGTATCCGTAGTTTCGCAGATCCAGGCCGTCGTTATTTCGCTCAGTCGCCTCGCCTTGCCCTGTCTCGTCGGCTGGACAAAGTGGTCGTCAGTCTCCGAGATGCATCCAGGGCAGCACTTTTACTTTTGTGAGACGAGAGATCGGAGGGGGTTGAGAAAAGGTTTGCCTGAGGAATGCGGGAGCGAGCGAGACCACGCTGCTGTGGATGAGACCAAGAGACTGGCTTCATGTTCGTAGTTAGGGAGAGAATGTTCCGTAGGGAGAGACAATCCGCTGCGTTAGTCGTCTTGAGAACATTCGGAGCTATGACTGGATAGACGGGACAAAGGAGCGGAAGGGCTGAGTGCTGAGGCAGCGAGGCCGCCCAGCTGAGAGAGATGATGGGCGGCGGGAATGCACCGAAACGTGGAGTGAAGGACGATCATCTCACCAAAAGGAGGGAGTACTCGATGAGAGGTGCAGCAGCGTCAGCGGGAGTCGACAGTGACAGAACCTGAACAGAACATATTAGAACAGAGAACAGCAGAGAGAGAGCGAAGACGAGGAACAGGGTTCTCCGCCAAAAGAGGAGAGAGAGGCATCCTCGAGCCAGAAGGCAGGGGTAGCGGTTCCCCTTGGCAAAGCCTTGTTGTGCCTTGTGCCCTGTGCCTGTGCTTTGCCCCTCACCCTTTGTTGATTGACCCTGAACATTTTGGAAAGAAAGTCTGACAGTTGGCCAGGGGTACGGGGTAATCTACGCAGTACCTTAGTTGCACAAAGCTGGCATAACTCGAGGGCGTAGCACAAACATTTGGTTCCTCGAACTAATGCAGGAACAAGCTGCGGGTTGTTTCCCAAAACATTTCAACATCCCAACTCTGTACGTATCTACGTACCCGGCACGTGCTGGGTTCATCGCTGAGTGGTACGTGTCCGCAAGATACGTAGCTATTCCCGCACAAGCCAGAAAGCGCAAATGATGTTCACAACTTCCCCTTTTCAGTCTTGAATCGTCAATCCTTTTCCTTTCCACGAACAACTTCCCTCTAACTCCATGGCGGTCTAATTTCCTGCTGATGGCTATCACTCAAAAAAGGGAGCCACTTAGTTGGTATCCATCACTATTCAGTAGGCCACACGGCAAATCATCCCCGTATTTCCAAGAGGAGAAAACTGTCACCCAACACGACCACGGCCCACGGCCCACGGCCCACGACACGGTATCCGTGACACTCACACGATGTACGGAGCCGCGGGAGTCGGGGGCGCCAGAGCCAGAGCAGACTCTCACACAGGACTCGAGATACGGATACCGACTCGAGAATCGACAGGCGATATGTAAAGCCTACAGGGATTGACATTGGTTGAACAGACCCTGGCCGCAGTCGAACCGGCCCCCCCTCTGGATCTCCAAGCCTCTTTTCCCCTGTCAATCCCTGTGTCCCTCGATGACCGTCCACTGTCAGCGAAAATCCTCCGCGGCTTCATCCAGCGTCGCTACGAAGTAGATCAGCATTGTCAACACGTCAGAATCACGGACCACTGCCCGTGTGTTTTCAAGCTCAAAAAGCCAATCTTAATCTCCAAATCCTCTCTCTTGACCGCCCCGGCACTTCATGATGCCGCTCGCACCGGCTTAGCCCCGACTTCTTTTCTCTTCACTAGACCAGCCACCACCGACTGACAGCTTGGATGCCACGACGTCTTGGCAGTGTTGTCTGGACGCCGCCTCATCGACAGGTCGCAGCGCTACTGGTTCTCTCTATTGATCGAATGCTCGTGCTTCAATTACTTAATGAGAGTTGCGCAACGCCCAACCGCGACATTGTGTGACGGCTTCTTCGATGCAATGAGCAAATACCCCCGGTATGGCTACACAGAAGAATTGGCTCGAGTCTCGAAAGTCCAACCCTTTGCAAAATTGCATAATCGACACATCCTTGTTGGTTATCATCAGCGGTATCTTAACAGGCCCCACGAGGCAGGCCAAGGGCTCCAGCGAGCTGGCCTTCGCGCGTTTCACCACTATGGATGCACAAGATCGTCTGATGCTCCCTCAACCCGCCATCCCATGCTGCTTCAACCCTTGTGACGTCACATATACCCTGCTCTACCCGTACGAATACCTACGAAGTAAACGGCGCAGTGGGCACTGACCGATGGTCGGCCGAAAGTGCTTGATTATGGGCATGATATCAACGTCCGCGGCTACTTTCCGTCAAAGGGCCACTGGAAACAAAAACCAGATTCGTTCGACAGGACTCAAGGAGCAATGATAACCTTAATCAGCCGCGACTCAGTGCGGCCACCCTGTGAATACGCTACACACGGCCAAGGTCGAGCACCCCGGGGCCACGCCATTGCAAACTTGGGCTCGGCTCTAGCTGCTCTCTTCCTCCCTCCATCTCCCCAGCGGCCTCATCGGGTCGACTGCAATTTGGCCACACGACCTTCGTGGCCACACTGCCACACGCCACCGGGCCATACCTTGTTTTCCCGCATCTTGACCGATCACCAGGCCAGCAGGACGACCACTTTCCAAGAGAAAACGCAATTTCCAGGCGAGCGCCATGGGCTGGACGGGCAGTAGCGTGCAAGAAGAGGCGTACTTCATCATGTTTGGTGCATGAAGAGCATTGTCCCTTACCAGACTGTCGGTGAAAAGCGTCAATTCAACCCGGGTTGAAGGTTTCGTTGAAATCCGTCACGTACGAATACAAGCAGCCGAAACTTGTTCCTGCTGATCCTCCGGTCGTTTTTCAAAACTTCCGATCATCCATGGATCTGTAGAGATGGATAAACCATGCTGCTCCGCTTCACCAGACGCTCGGCGCCACATCAACTCGTAGATCATGCAGCCAATCTTCTCGGATCTTCATACCGGTTGCCTATCACTATCCTCTTCTTCATCGGAAGCGGTGCGACAACTCAGAAACGAGATGGATTCAATGTGCTATTTCGAGTCGTGGAAGGGTATCGCGTACCAAGCCTACAATTCGCGGGGCCTTTCGACTGCTACCCCTCTGCTCCGCTTAAGGGGTTTACGGTCCGAGTGACTTGAGCCGGTTACTCTTTTATTTCTACGCACGGGCTAAATATGTACCTTTAATCATACCAAAATAACAAAAAAAAAAAAACCGCGATAGTAACGTGAATTCTACGAAAATTTAAATTTTGATTACTCAAATCGATTTTTTAGCCCAGATCTGACCTTGAAATCGCTATATTATTCTAAGGACTAGGTGTGGTGGGCGTTGTGTACTTGTATTAAATGTGGCTAGAAAATCGTGGACGAGATGACTTCGATATAGCGAAGTTGAATTTTTGTGCCCAGCGCCTAACCGCTCGAAGTACTGGGTACGTAGGTGGGGCGGGCGAGGGGTGGGAAGACGAGGAGGGCCGAGCTCTGTAGACCTGGTACGCGATACCCGTGGAAGGACTGTCTCTCTTCTAGGCAAGTGGGAACTAGACCCAGTTGTTCTCGCTCCACAGGCTGATTATACACTATAATCTCGTCCAATACGCGACGTTGAGCTTCCTCGTGGATCAAAGGTAAAAAGAGAGGAGCAATCCGGCCATACGAAGAGTAAATCTCGGGCAATTTTTCGAAACCCACCTCTGACCCCGCAAAATCCCAAAAGGAGTAATGCTCTCAGCACCGTCATTGTGAGGAACGCTGCTCGCGGGCCGAGTGTGTGCCACTGCCAACCGATCCCAGAGTTTCAATCTGCATACACTCTAAGTAGTGTATGCAAACTTCAGGGCCGCTCACGAACTCCAAATCTGCGAGTTGTTTACTCTGTTCTGCCCGGGCTTACATGACTGAAGGAGATGGTTCAAGCGGCGAACATTCTCGTTGATGGCGTCGTCTACATTTCCATCCCTCCTCTGCCCACATCACTCTATACCGGCAAGCATCCTGCCCTACTTCTTTTTCGACTAATTCTTCCATCCATGTGTATCTCTTGAGCACGTACAACAAGATATACATTGGGACCAAAAAGGCTCGAGAACCTTCAGGTTTACTGACAGTTTCACGCCAGTCGAAGCTCCGGTGCTCCGCGTGCTCAGTTTGACATGACATTCTGTCTGGTCACTAACCAACCTCTTGAACAGTTGAGGTAAGGTATTACCACGGTTTACTTGCGAGGGCTCAAATGAACCATACGCAAGGGGTTCACGGCATATTTCCTAGTCATACGGCTCTCAATGGCATCTACAATCGCGTCTCAGGGCACAATTTTTGTTACAAGATTTTATTCAGAGTGGCAGGCTTCTCGTAGGCAATTGCCACAGCGAATGTTTCTTAGAACCCCTTGGCTCTTGCCTATCCGCGCGTCTGATCAGACATTGTCTAAATAGGTACCTTACACACAACGCCATGTCTTCCAGGCATGTCACAAAACGCAATCATACCATGTCTCGGTAGAAACTAAGACATTTCTCGGTAGTACGAACTCTGATATCCCTTTCGTATACGGATAGGCAACGACGGAACACCTACGACGACCGAGACTCCAATTACAATCTTGCCGGGGCAACATTCCCATACGGGAACACGGGAACACGGGAACACGGGAACCGACTCCAGCCTGACGAAGCCGTACAGCTGCCCTTTGCTTTCAGCCACCCGAGCTTTCCAAGCTGTGAGGTACTTCACCAAGCCCTCTGTCGACTTCTGATCTGACGGGTCCATGGGCTCCTCGTTGTGACCCATCTGCAGCATCTGCGTTCCCGCCATGGCAACTCCAAGACCAAAGTCCTGCTCGTCGAACAGGGGCTTGAGGCAACTCTTGACGCCGTTCTCGAATATGTCCTTTGGCAACCTCGGCTCCGCACAAGCAAGCCGCCCGATGCCCACACCATCGAGCCCAGCCTGCAAGATGCCAAGCATGGCGCCGACCGAGCGAGCGGACGCCGCCCGTAACATAGGTCCTGGTCTTGCTCACGTGCGGCACAATCTTCTCCGCGAAGTCGAGGAAGAAGGCCTCGCGGGCCCTTGTGCTGTCCCTCTGGTGGTGCCACCCCGACTTCTCGTACGTGCCACCGCTGAGCTCGACAAAGTCGAACTTGTGCTGTTCTAGGAGCTGGCATAGCTCCGCGGCTTCGTCGGTCGTGAACCCGGACTCCTGGAACTCGACGCTGTTAATCTTGATGCCCATGACGAACCCGGGACCCGTCCGCGCGCGGATGGCGTCGGCAACGTCAGTAATGAAGCGCGCGCGGTTCCGCAGCGAACCGCCGTACTCGTCCGTCCGCTTGTTGGTCGTCTGCGAGAGGGACTGCGCCATCAGGTAGCCGTGTGCGCCGTGGAGCTGGATGCCGTCGAAGCCGGCCTTTTCGAGGTACGCCGCGCAGTGCACGAACCCTTCCGTGAGCTTCTTGATCTCCTCCACCGTCGCCGCGTGCGGCTTGGCGAACGTCATGCCCCCAAAGTCCGTCACCAGCTGCACGTCCGTGGCGGAGACGGGGTTCGGCTGGATGGCGCTGATGACCTGGCGTCCCGGGTGGCCGACTTGTGCGAGGAAAAGAGAGCCTTGGGCCTTGGTCGCCGCGGCTATGCGGCGCCACGTCTCGAAGCGCTCGTCACCCTCGACTGGCTGGTGGTCGAGCGAGATGGCTGGGTTCCCGGGTGCCTCGAGGTGGCCCGGGTCGATCATGATGTTGCCGGAGAGGAGGATGCCCCAGCGGCCGGTGCCCCAGTTGCGGTAGAGGTTCGGGAGCTCTTTGGTGGGGGCACCGCGCTTGGAGACGTCGGCGACGTCCCATGTTGCCACGCGCTCCGACATGGCGCCCTTCATGAGGCGGTTGGGGGCGACGGTCGTCGAGAAGGGGAAAGCTCAGCGGCTGGGCCAGAGGTGTCGGGTCGACATCCTCTCTGCCGGGATAACGGGGAGGCATTGTGAGGTTTTGATTGCTGACGACTTTCTCTCGATGGGATCCGATCTGCCACAGAGTAATGATTCACGGGTGAAAATAATATTCGTGACGGCTTCAGACTCAACAGCTCACTCGATTGGATGGTAGTAGGGGAAGCAGAAGTCGATACTTGACTTGCGCGCCAGGCCCTACATATGGAACGACCAGATCCTCGGGGAGGGGCCCTTCGACAGCAAACGTGTGGATCTCTATCTGTGGTCCGTCCCATTCAGAATCCATGGCAGAAAGGGTTGCGCACATCGTGTGGATTTGTCCTGGCTCTCTCCGCTGGGAATTCCGAATACCGTTCCTGTGCCTGGGTCTAGAATCAGGTTAATGGCCAAGTGCCTATCTAGGTGCTAGACCGCGCAACTTCGTCCGAGACGGAGGAGGAGCAAAGACCTGGAAAAAACGAATCCACTGCGGCAAACGCAACGCATTGCTGAAGAAATGCAGGTTTGCCTCGGCACTAGAACTTGGAAGTAGGGCAAATTTTTGAATCGAGAGTCGTAGGAAACTCGAGAAGTACTTAAAGACTCGTAAATCTCTAGAGCTCTCGAGTCCTCATAAGGTTGGAAAAGGAGTTTACTCTCTTTTGTGGTTTGGTTTAAGTAGAGACTGTTCATACAAGTAAACCCTTTTGTTTTGCATGTCATGGGTTTTCTCAGGTGGTTTGGGTTGAGTAAGGTTTCTCTTGAACCAGGTAAAATAAGAAAACGTAGCTTGGCCCTTTTTTTCTCCTTGTTCTGGAATGTTTAGAAGGAGAAGCCCCTTGGCTGGTTTACTTTAAGTCACTTGACGCTCTTGTGCTAGTTCACGTATCGTGCCCCCACGAATACGTGCGAGCGAACAAAGTAACAGCCAAGGGGTCCTTTGACAAGTCACGTTGAACGCTGAAAGGATTCTCCTGGCAAAAAAAAAAAAAAAAAGAAGCAAAGCCAAGCCCATATGTACCTTGCCTTTTCTTGCATACTACCTAACCGCCCATACAGATACACGGCCCATACCCAACTACCTATTCTCTCCCCGTTAATACCAGGGGCAAGCCCCTTAGAATCCCAGAGCCCTCTGGGGGGCCGCTACGCGGGCTCTATATAATACATCCTTGGTACTGTAGACCATTTACCTTGGCATATACGAGGTGAAGAGTAGGCAGAAAAGCCTTCGACTCTCAAGGGTAGGGGTAGAAAAGGTTATAGGTTTTCGTTGCCAACGGTGGACTTTAGACCTATACAAGTCCTTCAGTAAACACCGTTGTGTCTTACGGTGTACTGGGCACTCGTAATAGCCCAAAAGAGGCTGGGGCAATTCGACTTGTTCGGAATAGTAGTAATATAGGTAAGTAATGACATAATTATTGAGAATGTTTACTAGCTTTATTTATAATCCTTTTTCCGCATCTCACCATATGGATACTTGGTCGTCTTCTCATCTTAGGTCACAAAAGCATGGACGAGACATCGTCAACACCCATAGCAATCACACACATTCGGGTGAGAAACATGATTCTTTCTTTTTGTCATTTGTGTCATTTAATCTCTAATGCCTCCCTCAAAACTCCAAGGCGATGCGGCCAGTGGATATGTTAAACAAAGAAAAGTGGCCAAGATAAGAGAGGAAGAGAGAGAGAGACAGAGAGAGAGAGAGAGAGAGAGATTCCTAATCGCCTTTGCCCCCATCAATGAACCCTCCTCCCCTTTCCATTCATACGCTTTATAACGCGTTTTCCACAGCATACCTACCAGCCCTTCGACTTCGTACCACCCTTCTGCCATTTGGCATGCCCTACACCATTTCGCCCATCTACCTACGGCTCTTCAGAAGCCCCTGCAAGTAACTCGAGAATCCCTTTCTGTCCGTGGACGTCGACATGGACCTCAAAAAGTCGGATCCGTCGATGCCCAGATGCGGGAACAGGGATGACTGGAGGTGCTGGATAAACATCTCTCCCGTCTTCAGGTAAATAGCCTGCTCGAGGCCGGCGATCTCGTTGAGGACCTGCTTGCTCTGCGCATCGTTGTGCGGCCTAAAGTTGGGGTCCTGGAAGACTTCCCAGCAGAGCGGGTGGAAGCGGTCAATCATGAAGCGGTCGAAGCCCGGGATGGTCGGGTTCGGGGAACCGCTGGGCGCCTCTGGGTTCTCGGCGATCTTTGCGCAGTCGGGACCGCCCCAGACAACCACCATGCGTGCCAAAACACTAAAGGCCAGCCGACTGGGTCCGATGTTCTCCGCTACGAGGGTGCGGCCGAGGGTGATGACAGAGTTGATGAGTGACTCGAAGAAGCCCTGGTTGGCCTCGCTGATGAAGACGGACTGGAGTTCGTTGTTCAGGATGACCAGCAGGAAGGACAAGTATTCCCTCCGCAACTCGCCAAGCTGAATCTCGTCGTCTGTACCGGTGACTGGTTCGGACAGGCCGGCAAAGATCCTCTGCAGCAAGGGAGTGAGAAGCATGTTCAGAACATTGTAAATCTCCGTTTTGAAGCCAAAGACAATCTGGTCAAGCAGTCGTAGGAAAATGGCCATCTCGTCCTTGGAGGAGCTTTGGGACAGGAATCCTTCGATCCACTGAGGGAGCTGCGGCAGCACAGCGGATCCGAGAACGCCTAGCAACTTGGAGAAGGATGCTCGGCAAGCAGTGCGAATGTCGGTGGAGTTGTTCAACTCGCTGAGGGCAATCAAAATGGCTTCGGCGGCTCTCGAGAATTCATCAGACACAAGCTTGTCTGGGGGAGGTCGGTTCTGGACAGATGTGCTGCCGGGCTGCCAGTCCGAGAAACCATGGGCAAGGCGACCGAGAGCCAAGATGATGTGATGTATTTGGAGAATGGCCTGGGCATCGTTTGCCTTTGCCTTTGGCAGATGGGATTCCATGTCACTGAACAAAGGATTCAACACAAGGCGGGCATAGTACGCCTGTTTGTCTGCTGGCGTGCTTCCAGTTGACGCAATACAACCAATGGCCTCAAACAAGTAAAGCTGGCTTGTGAATAAGGCGTCCGCAGAGTGGTCAGACTCATCTGAAGACATGTCATCGTCTCCGTTACTCTCCGAGACCTCAGCCTTGATTGGCAGGAGGTCACTGATGGACTGGATGACAGTTTCTGCCACATTGCCGACCTGGGCTCTGAGGAATTTGACAAATCTCTGGAAAAGATACCAGGATCGTGTCTTGATGCGCACGTGGTCATGGTGAACCAGCCGCACAAAGTTCTCCAGGACCTGAGGGATGTATTCTTGCCGGGCATCAAACACTTGCCAGTATCGGACACAGATCTCCATGTACTGGAGCAGAATCGCTGGGTGGGGGAAGTTGGCAATTCCTATAAAGCTGTCAGGTACTTGACTCAAGCAGATGAGAAGGGAGGTCACTTACCGGACTCAACCATCTTGGTCACCATGATGGTCAGTCGTTCTGTTGCCGTGCTTGAGGGCTGGCTCTTGGTGCCCAGCCCTTGGTTAGGCAGCGCGAGTTCGCCAAACAGATACATTTCGTGGAGCGCAAGATCCAGATCTCTCCAATCCATCCGAGACCCTTGCTGGTCAAGCGTTGTGAAAGTCTGAGACACGAGGTTGCTGAGAACATCGATGTAAAGCTGTTGGTCTACAGCTGCAACAGTCTTTTGGAGAACTTGCAACCGCTTCCGCAGCTCCTGGAACTCGGCCTCATCCGTTTGCTCGTCTTCGTCGCCCCAGTTCGAGGTCTCGTCGTAGCGCATCTTCATGATGATGGCGTTAAGAATGGGAGGAAGCATCTCTTTGTAAGAAGCAGGCAGGTTGGCGCCGACCTTTCGCAGGAGGGTAAGGAGGTCGGTCAAAGAGGGGATGACTGTTGAGCAAACCTCGTCGTACTCGTCAGAGAAGAATCGGAGGAGGAAGGGAAGGAAATCGTGGAGGTGTTGCTCGGATTTGGCTCTGGTGTCTTCGGTGGCCTGGCCGTCCTCGAGTGCGCGCACAATGTCGGCCATGACGGTGTTGACGAGCTTCGCAACAGCCTCGGCGAGATCGGTGTCGTACTGAGGCGTAGACTTGAGCTCGCTCAGAGGGGCGCTGGCAATGAGCTGGGCCACAATGTCGCGCAGGTTAAGGAACGAAATTAGTTCCATCTTCTCGGGCCCCCTCATCTTCTTGCCCACAATCTCGGTGAGGGTGTCAATGGCGGCGTCCCGAACCTTGTCCTCGCTGCCAGACTGATTTGTCCGTCCAACAACAGGAAGCAAGAGGTTGAGCATTTCCTGGTTGACAATCAAGGAAATGTCCATCCAACTGATCCATTTGCCAATAACCTTGAGAATCATTTCGACAATGACATCGCTCTGGCCCGAGTACTGCGCCAACAAGTCCTTCCATGACTGAGCAATCTTCTGGACGTCACGCTCTCGCAGCTGATCCTTCAAATCGGTGTTGCGCTTCGCATCGTTGCTGTTGCGCGTCAACAGCATGTCGGCAATCTCGTCGTGAACAGAACCAATGATTCGCAAGTAGAGAACGACACCGGCCGTGTTGTTGGGGCTGCTGGCAATAGCCAGGAAGTCGTCGATGAATGACTCCCAGCCATCGTTGTAGAGGAAGACGAAGAGGTAGGTAAGGGTCTGCGACAGCTTGTTCTGCAGGTGGGAGGGGTCGACCTGGTCTTGCAGGTTCTGGCCGTAGATGTTGCGGACGTATTCGAGGAGGTTGTCCTTTAGCCACGAGAGGCTGTTGCGGTCGAGGCCTTGTGTGTAAATCGCATAATTAACCACTTCCAAGCAGAAAAGGCGGACGACTTCGGAAGGGCGTTGTGATCTAGTGAAGAGGGTGGTGCAGACCTGCCAGCCTTGGGGGTCGGCTCGCAGCTGGTTCAGGTAGTCGAAGGCTTGTTGCTTGAGGT